CATGCAGAGGCATCTGGGCGTACAGGTCCACAGTTCCCTGAAAGTGGCAACATCATTAAAATCAAGAGCAAAACACCTACCCTACTCCGGTGGCTACATGTTAAGCTATGTCACTGTTTACTTTTGAATATATCCACTGCAAGCGTTAGAACTTTGTTCTGTGAGATATGCAAGCGATGAGCATGAAGGGAGAAAGGAAAAAAGCATGTTTTTGAGTGGAAAACATTTCCTCTGGTTAAAAAAAATTACATGATTTCTTCTCCCCATTTCACAGCATTTTACCTTCTCAAAGTGGCATCAGTTCAGACTGATAGAAATGTAGTATGCGAATAATTTCTCATCCACATTTTGGACTCTGCATCACCGTACTCACATTGAAGCCTGTCGATCAATAAATCGGTCACGCGATAATTGGCCTCAATCACTTTGGATAACGATGAAGTAAACCAACATACCCATTCCTGGCTATTTAGTGACAACTGATGAAAACTGCCGGCAGAGGACTTTTATAACAAACAAAGGAATGGAAACTGATATTGCCTTCTACCAGTTTGGAAAGAGCTGCAAATTTGAGGCTAATTTTGGTCCAACAGTTGACTAAAGCTAGGGCCGTTTACAATTACCAACTACAAATTTATAAAGGCAGTCGATTCAAATGGTTCTCTTCATTCTATAGTCAACTTTCCTGATGGGACCGGAAAGGCTAGGTGCAGGAAGAATGCTCCCAATGTTGGGGAAGTCCAAAACTAAGGGTCAAAGTCTAAGAATAAGCCATTCAGGACTAAGATTGAGGGAAGAATTTCTTTACACAAGGTTGTAAACCTGTGGAATTCTCTACCACAGAAAGCTGTTGGGACCAGTTTGTTAGATGTATTCAAGAGGGAGCTGCATGTGGCCCTTGCAGCTAAAGGGATCAAGGGGTATGGATAAAAAGCAGGAATGGGATACTGAAAGTGCATGATTAGCTATGATCATATTGAATGGTGGAGCAGGCTTGAAAGGCTGAATGGCCTACTCCTGCACCTATTTTCTATGTTTCCATGATCAGCTAACTAGATTGTCTTCCATTCAGGACAGTGTCCTGAATTAATGAAACTCCCTAGTAAGCATAACAAAACGATAAACACTTTAATTTAAAAGTCTTGAAGTCAGGCTGCCACCATGTAACATTTATTTCCTTAAAAGAAGTCAGCAACCAAATATGCAAATATGCATCAGCACTTCTGAATCAATGCCCACAACAGATTAAAAGCTTTGATACATGTGATTTTAAAAAGGCATACTGAATAAAAGTTTCTCTGAAAGTAATGTCAAATGACAAAAACATATTTACTAGAGAAGGATGCAAAAACTAAAACACGTTCTTGCCTGCAGCATTTTTTTTCTAAAAGAGTTGCTTGTCGCACAACTCTGGCAATCAGTTTTATGTCTTCAATTTACGTTCATGTTAATGATGAATGATAAAATGTGAATTTGATCTGCTCAATGTATCTTAAATATATTACTTACCTCATGGTGGTTTACTTCTGCAGACATAATGCTGCCCAAGTTTCAATTTATCACTTATCAATGTACTACTGGCTGTTTTCGTCAGAGCAGATTTACAAACAAATATTTTCCAGCACAGATTCTAATAATACGCCAATAACAATTCTGTATTGCACTTCAGTGACATTTAAATGTGTAACTAAGAAAAACATGTTATGAGATAGCAAGCATAAGAATTTGCTACCAACTGCTGCCTTCCTGATAAAATGCTCATGGTTTCAAAGATTAACTTTGTAAGAGAATGGTGAGAACTGTAAAGTGGTACTAAGAACAAAAAGGCAAGCTGTCCAAGATTTCACAGAATCACAAAATCGTTACACCACAGAAGGAGGCCGTTCAGCCCACAGAGCCTGCACCACCTCTTCAAGTGAGCATGATTACCTCGTGCCAATTTGTTGCTTTTTCCCCATTTCCATGCACGCTATTTCTATCTAAATAATCACCTATTGCCCTCTTGAATGCTTCAACTGAATAGACCTCCAATATATACCCAGGGAATGGATTCCATTGTCTAACTGCTTGTTACGTGAGAGAGTTTTTTCTTACATCACCCCGACTTCTTTTGCACATCACTTCAAATCTATTGCCCTGGTTCTCGTCCCTTTTATGAGCGGCAACAGTTTCTCCCTATTCACTCTATCCAGTCTACTCATGGTTTTGAAAGCCACTGTCAAAACTCCTCTCTTCTTCTCTCCAAGGACCAAGTCAGAAATTATAGTCCAACAGGGTTATTTGAAATCACAAGTTTTCAGACATTGCGCCCCGAAGGAGCAGCACTTCAAAAGCTTGTGATTTCAACAAAACATGTTGGACTATAATCTGGCATCGTGTGACTTCTGACTTTGTCCATCCAGTCCAACATCAGGACCTCCACATCATCTCTCCAAGGAGAACACTCTCCACTTCTTCAACCGATCCTCATAACTGAAGTTTTCCATTCTTGGAATCATTCGTGTACATTGCTTCTACAAACTCTCCAGCGCATTCACAACCCCCTGATAATGTGATGCCCATAATGGACAATTTCCAGCTGAGGTCTAACGTGTCTTATACAAGTTCAACATCACCTCCTTACTCTTGTATTCTATGCCTCTATTAATAAAGTCAAAGAACCTGTATGCATAATTAATTGCTTGCTCCACTTGTGTTGCCACCTCAATGTTCCAAGCATATCATCACCCAGGTCCCTATGCTCCTGCATCCCCTTTAAAACTGTAATCTATTTTGTATTGTCTTTCAGTTTTCTTCCTACTAAAGAGAGGAGAAGATCAAAGGAGATGGAGAGGCAATATGACTGATATATAAAACTATCAGAGGGATAGACAGGTTAGAAAGGAAGAACCTTTTCCCCTTGATGCAGGGATTAAAAACAAGGAGGCATAGATTTAAGGGGCAGAAAGTTCAGGGAAGATGTCAGTTTTCTAGAAGCTTCTCCACTAACTTTAAACTGACCGGCCATAATGTTTACCATTCTCCAGTCTTCTAGCACCTACTCCAAATCCAGGGAAAACTGAAAAATTGCAACTAGTGCCTCTGTAGTTTCTATGCTCATTTCCTTCAAAATCTTTGGATTTTTCTTATCCAGTCATAGTGCCTTGTCAAGTGTCAGTATCATTAGTCTGTCTAAGATGTCTTCCTTATTAATTCTGAACCCTTCCCCTGACAGATTTTCCTCCTCTTGTGACCATGGCTTGTTACCTCCACCTCTTTTCCAAGAACAGATGCAAAGTTTTAAAGCCTCAGCCATGTCCTCCTGCCTCCGTGTGTAGATCATCTTTTTGGTCTCTATATAGCCTACTTCTTCCTTAAACACACTTTTACTATTTACAGATATTTCTAATAAACCTGTTCAGAGATGTTATTACACACCTCTAAAGCAGGTGGGACTTGAGCCCAAGTCTCCTGGTTCAGAGCTACTATTACTAATTAGATGCCTAAAAAAGACACCGGGATTCTCCTTTTGGTTAGCTGCTGTTTTGTTCTCACAATTCTTCTTTACTTCTCTTATTTGCTTATTCATTGGCCCTCTAAACCTTCAGTATTCTTCCCGGTTCTCAACTGTATTTTCAACCTGTCGTTAGCAAAAATTTTCTTTCTAATGTTAATTCTACCTCCTTTGTCACCCAGGGAACTCTGGATTTGTTTGTCCTACCTTTCCCAAATGAGGGAATGTACCTCAACTGGACCTAAACCATCCACTCTTTGAAGGTAGCCCATAATTCAGTTACAGTTTTTCCCAACAATCAGTAAATCCTGACCATCTCTCTTCTTGTCTCATTGAAGTCTGCTCACCACCAGTTGATTTTACTCACTCTGCATTGTTCAATGCCATTCTCCACACTATCCTGAATCTTATAATACAATCACCTAATTGGTGCCCCACAGACAATTCACTTGGCCACCTCATTTCCGAGGACTAGGTTCAACAATGTATACTTTCTTGTTGGACAGAACACATGCTACTGTAGGAAGCTCTTTTGAACACAGTCTAGGAACACACCCTTTGCTGCCTCTTACACTATCAGTATCCCAGTTTTCATACTAGCATCACCACAGATGCAAGAATGCCAAATTACTAAGGCAGCAACAATTTAGATGAAAATTGAAATTAGTGGAAAAAGGATGCTGATTGGTTGTCAAGTCACTATGATTGGTTGAGACATTACTGCAGAGAATGCACCTGTAAATTATTGTGCCATCATGCTTTGTTTAATTCAAAAAAGGTGTAATGCTTCAATATATTTCCTGTGGAGCGCAGGTCCATACATTTGAATATGTGTGCATGTCAGAATGCTCCTTCAATTGTTGACAATAGGTAAAGTATTTAATCAGCCTGTGCTCACAAAACTCATATTATCTAATGTTAGTCACAATTTCACAATTTGACAGCACTTTTAAACAATTATGAGTGTGAATAACTAGCAATTTAAGGTCATCAGTTGAGCTTGTAACCCGGCTCACTTGCTGGAAACTACATATATTCATATGGAGGGAACTGTCCTTTGCAGGAGAAAGGAAAAAATCCCATCAAAGTGCCTTTCCTGAATTAAATAAAAGCATGGAGTCAATCGCTGACAGGAACAATGGAAATAGAAGAGTAGTCCATTCAGCCCATTAAACTCATTTTACCATTCAATTAGATCACGGCTGATCTTCTACTTCAACATCATTTTCTCAATCTATCCCCAGATCCTTTGACATCTTTAATATCTATTTCCTGGTAAATGCAACACCTTGATGGGAGTCCATTTACTCACGAATCAGCATTTTTTTTGTAGCATTAACTATTGCTCCCTTTGAAATAGGGCATTCTTGCACCTGCCTTGATAAAATCAAGCTGAAAAGCTTCAACAGTCGGTCTCTTTTTCAGTAATACTCAAGTTCCGTACTGTTAAATGATTATTAAAATAGTAAAGGTGGACAGAGACAGAAAGACAGTTCTTCACTGTTACCTATCTGTCTTTCCAGGTCGGCTGCTTCATCTTGCGTAGCCCGAGGTAGAACTCCTGGATCACTGAAGCTTGTACGGAGCAACGTCCCCATCACAAAAAAGAACAAAACTCCTGCAATCGCTGGTATCACAGGTGTGATGGTAACTGCTAGGAATGGACAGCTGTTAAAAATATAAATAAAAGAAATTAAAACTGGTTTCTATAAATGCACACAACATAGTGTACATTTTGGGGGCAGCAAGTTAAATTTCTATAACATAGGACTCTATGGTAACTGGGTTCAGACTCAAGATTAACCAATGAAGAGCTAAATATTCCGACAGCAATTCCAATATTCATCAATAGGTAGTGCTGCAAACAAATAATTCCTACTCCTTTATTTTCAGATCAGTGCGTATACACTACATTTCCTAAATGAGCCCAATAACCCTTAAATTTGGCATAGTTTAAAATATCTGGATGTCAGTGAACATTATTAACTATGCACAAAGTAAAGACTGACAAATCCTTTGGGAAAATATTCTGTTTTTGGTCTTTCATGGCTCCAGATCTGTTAGCTAAAGGCAAATTGCCTATTAACATACAGTCCAAAAGCAAAGAGGCACACAGCAATTTCATAAGAGGCTGACTCATCATTTTTAATGCTTTTAGTAGCACGTTTCACTTGGAACTGAAAAGAAAAAAAGTAGATCTTAGGAATTTTGCCTCAGGCAACACCTGACATTACCCTACTGGCCTATCAGTTGCCTCAGATAGGCTGATACATTACAGTTGCAAACAAATTATCTAATTTCAAATGTTCAATATAAAACGTTCACAGAAAACACCTCATGTTGTCATTGGCTGTTGTAACGTAGTCTAGGCCATCTGGATTTCTGTTTCAAAGTCTACGCAACAAATATGAAATTAAATCTGTTAGTTATGGAGTTGAAAAGGAATCTGGTTTAGGTGAATTGGAACCAAAGGTTAAATAAAACAGTAAAAAAGCAGGTTTTCAAAAAATGTCTCGTTTGAATACAGAAAAGATTAAAGGGCAAAAGGAAGGGCATAAAAACTAGAATTCCTTAAATTACCATAGATAGTACGACTATCTGCATGGGCGGCATGGTGGCTCAGTCGTTAGCACTGATGCCTCAGCGCCAGCGACCCGGGTTCAAATCCACTCTCAGACAACTGTCTGTGTGAAGTTTGTACATTCGCCCCGTGTCTCCGTGGGTTTCCTCCAGGTGCTCCGGTTTCCTCCCACAGCCCAAAGATGTGCAGGCTAGGTGGATTGGCCATGCTAAATTGCCCATAGTGTTCAGGGATGTGTAGATTAGGTGGATGGGTTGGTGTGGACTTATTGGGCCGAGGGACCTGTTTCCACACTGTAGGGATTCTATGATGATTTAAAAGGAAAAACAGGTTCTAGTGATTACAGCATTCATAATTTAATCTATGAGATTATAAAAGCAGGGATTTGAAATTCCCTAAGTAGCGCTGAAATATTGTCCTTCTGGTGATACCCTCCAAACATCAATCTTTGGACAACTGCCCTTTCTTGTTTACATTTAGAACCTGGAGTTGAGTATAGAGGGCATAATTTAAGTTTCCAGATAACACGAAACTCAGAAATCTGGTAAACACTGAGAAGAATGGGAACAGATTTAATGGAGATATAGACGAGTGAAACGGACTGATTAAATTTAATACAGAAAAGTGTCAAGTGAATCATTTACATAGAAAAAGTGAAGAGAAGCAATATAAACAAAAGAGTAAAATTTTGAGTGCGCAGTAACAAAGAAAACAGGGAATACACCCACTACACCCATACCAGCACTTTGACAGATCTCCCCAATGAATCCTTCTGGCCTTGCCTCTCAGCCTACCAATCGTTCCTTTTCAAGATTACAAAGGCCAATTGCTCTGAGCAATAATGTCAGCACGGTAGTTTGAGGGGCCATCAGTTGGCACAGCATGATCCCACAGCTACTTGCCCTTAGCCACCCACACAAAAGAAAACTCCTCGAAATCCCAGCTCAATGGCAGGGACGTTTGCCTATCTTTGTCCTGACTATGCCACACCACTGAATAATGTGAAGGTGAATACTCTGAATTTTTTGTGCAGCCCAAAATAATTTGGTGCAGCATGTCTGGCTCACCCCCAGTCACCTCTGGCCTGTGACTGTGCAGCTGAGCATGAGACTTTACAGGTTCTAACTCCAATTGCTAATCAGAGTACTGCAGAATCTTTCCAGCACAGAGGCACAATCCAATCAGCCCATCTGCTCAATATTGGTGTTTCTACTCCTACTCCATGAGACTCCTCCTCTCCCCCTCTTAATCACCTCGCCCATCTTCTCTTCGGTTCGGTTTCTCTCTCCCTCATGTATTCATCCTCCTTCTCCCATTCCTGCTCCACCACAAACACTGCAGCACTTCAGAATAGCTGCTCACCACCATCTTCCCCAAGGTCACATTAGGATGCACAGCAAGTGCTGAATGCAGCCAGGGACACCCTCACAACCCATGAAATTATTAAACAATCATGCAAGTTATTGGACAGGAGGTAATCAGAAAAGCTAATGGAATCATTGATTGTAAGAGGAATTGAATGTAAGAGTAGGGAGGTACTCTTCAGTTATACAGGGCTTGATGAGACCACATCTCATGTACAGTATCGGTCTCTTTATTGAAGGAAGGATGTAACTGTGTTGGAAAGAGTTCAGGCTAGATTTACAAGGCTGATACCTGGAATTTGAGGGTTGTTTTATGAGGAGAGGCTCATAGCCACTACAGTTAAAGGCAATTTGATTGAAACGTAAGGGCGGCACGGTGGCTCAGTGGTGAGCACTGCAGCCTCACAGCACCAGGGACCCGGGTTCGATTCTGCCCTCGGGCGACTGTCCATGTGGAGTTTGCACATTGTTCCTATGTCTGCGTGGGTTTCGTCCAGGTGCTCCAGTTTCCTCCAACAGTCCAAAGATGTGCAGGGTAGGTGGATTGGCTATGCTAAATTGCCCGTAGTGTTCAGGGATGTGTAATTTAGGTGGGTTATAGGGGGATGGGTCCTATGACGTTCCCCTGTTCCTATTTCATTTGTGAAAAAGAAATGCATCTGTGCTGTTGACCTCAACCACTCCCTGATAGGAGCGGCGTTTCTCCTGAACTCCCAATTAGATTTATGAGTGACAATCTTCTTTAAGTGGTTGTAGAGGGTGCAGAAAAGATTTACGAGAATGTTATTAGAACTGGAGAGTTATAAGGAGATAGTAGGAACTACCGATGCTGGAGAATCTGAGATAACAAGGTGTAGAGCTGGATGAACACAGCAGGCCAAGCAGCATCAGAGGAGCAGGAAGGCTGATGTTTCGGGTCTAGACCCTTCTTCAGAAATGGGGGAGGGGAAGGGAATTCTGAAATAAATATGGAGAAAGGGGGAGGCGGATAGAAGATGGATAAAGGAGAAGAATAGATGGATAAAGATAAAGAATTCACTGTTGAGACTACGTTAAAGAACACACAAAGACTAAAGAAAGGACTGCAGTTGAAGTTTATAATTATAACATTGGAAATGATACAGCACAGAAGGGGGCCACTTAGCCCATTGTGTCCATGCCGATACAAAGACCCAGACACCATTTCTAATCCCATTTTCCTGCCCACAAGCCCTGCAATTTACAGTACTTAAGGTGCAGATCCAAGTACTTTCAAAAAGAGTAGAGTCTCTGTCTCCACCACCAACTTGGGCAGTCAATTCCAGAACCCACCACCCTCGAGGTAAAAACGTTTTAGCTTGAATCTATAACCCCTGGTTTTTGAACCCGGCCAAAGGAAACAGGTTCCTCCTGTTTACTCTATCTCTACCACTCACAATTTTGTATACCTCAATCATGTCATCCCTCGGCCTTCTCTATTCCAAGGAAAACAACCCCCACCTCTTCAATCCCTCTTTATAGCTACAGTTCTCCAGCCCTGGCAACATTACAGTAACCTTCTCACCAGCACAATTATGTCCATCCTGTAATATAGTGAGCAGAACAGCACACAAAACTCCAGTTGTGGCCTCACCAGTGTCTTATACAATTTCATCATTAGACCCCTACTTTTGTACTACTATATTTCCGCCAATGAGAGAGAGCATTCCAAATACCTTCTTTACAACCTTATCTACCTGTACTGCTATCTTTAGGAATCTATGCACTTGCACTTCATCTACCCCTCTCAGTACATTCTTATTTATTGTGTATTTCCTTTTACTGTTTCTCCTCCCTAAAAGAATTACCTCACCCTTATCAGAGTTGAACTCTATCTGCCACTTTTCTGCCCACTCCACCAACCCATCTATATCATTTTGGAATTTACAGCTATCCTCAACACTATCCACTACACAGCCAATTTTTGTGTTGTCTGCAAATTTCCCAATTGTGACCCTGCTGCCCCTATATTCAAGTCCAATTCATTGATGTATACTGAGCCCTGAGCCCCGCAAAATACTACTTGAAGCTACTTCCCATTCTCAAGGGTAGCCATCAACCATTACCCTTTGTTTCCTGTTACTAAACCAATTTTGGATCCAATTCAACATACTTCCTTGTATCCTATGGGCTTGAACATTTTTGACCAGTCTGCCATGTGAGAACTTATAAAACGCCTTACTAAATTCCAAGCAGACAACATCCACTGTATTACCCTCATTGATCCTCCTTGCCACTGCCTCAAAGAATTCAATCAAATTTGTAATGAAGGAATAGATTTGATACCAAACAATATTAAAGTAACTTCTAGGGGACAGTGGCATACCTTTTCCTTCCTGACTGTACACAACTGAGGTGTCATCTCTACTGGGTCTGTCCTGTTGGTGCGACAGGACACACTCAGGAATGGTGGTGGTGGTGCATGGGACATTTTCTCATGGAAGCTACAGAGGTGGCATGGGTAGGATCTTTTAAACTTGCCGTGCAGAAGATACCCAAATCCATACTTTAGTTCAGAAGTCCACAGACCATTCAGCCATGATTTATGAAGAAAACGGTACAAATATTTGAAAATTGTACAAGTAATCAGATGCCTACTTCCACAATGGAGCTGGCCAGATCAGAAATGCAAGTATCTTTACCCCACACCAGCTAAAATAGCTAGTGCCAGGAAAGAGGGCGACAGACTCAGAATTGGGTCCTGC